TATTTGCAAATAATCATATTATTGACTGCAGGTTAATTCGCTGATAATTAAAATTTAATTATTTTCTGATTGTATTTTAATGGTACATAAGCGCGTGCTAAGGCAAAAGACCTTTATTCAACCTAGAGGGCAATTCATACTACGCGTATTATTATACTGTATTCTCTTATACGGTTATAGTATTAAACTGTTATAACATATTATTAAACTGTTATACTAATAGCTAATTTCGAATCTTTGGCGGCAGTATTTAATTAACTAATTTTAAAAAAATATTTTGTGTTGTATAAAAAGAAATTAAAAGATATAAATCAAATAAATAGCTTATATTTTATATATATTTTATATATTATTTTACATATATTTTATAAATAGTTGGACTAAATACAATCTAAGGTGCGCCCTTATTTACTAGTTTTCGCTCTAGATGATTATTTTTTATTGCTGAATTTTTAAAAATGGCTTGCTGGGAAAAAAATTTAAATGGAATACGGATGTAATCTCTAAAGCTGATGAAGACCTGGAAGAGTACTATTGTTCTGAAGGCATATAAAAGTTAAAATCTAATTACAGTAAACCTACGGAGCTCAAATAGAACTATGTAAAGAAGTAAATTTGAAAGGAAGCAAAAAATAAATTCAACTAATTTATTGCTCACTTATCAAACAATCCTTTAAAGGCTTATTATTATTATACTGTCTATAGCAACACAGATTGCTATATATAAAAATTAAACTTAACTATATATTAATGCTATGGTTGGTTGGTTGGTTGGTTGCAGTGGCAGGTCATAAGATAATTTCAAATGTACCTCAATTAGCGATTTTTCGCGGTTTTGTTACCACATTCCTCGCAAGAACCCTAGTATAGAAGAGTAGAGACTAAATCCATCCCACTGAATTTAGGTAATTTAATTAATTATTAATGCTATATCTTTAAACTTTTTTATATATATAAATAAGAATGAATCGAATTAAGAAATAATATTTTTATTTATTTTTTTTTATTATTAAGTGGATGTGGCACTACTACCATTTGGTCAATTATGCCCCCTTCTGTGCTAAGATTATATCTCTAAGCCCTGTTGCGTCAATAATATAGAAGTAATATAGAACCTACTTTACGGAATTTTATTGTCTCTTCCATCTATTCGGTTATTATTCCACATAATATTTACTATAAAGCAAATAATTATGTTTAAATTGTTATAAAATTAAAATTTTTATAATAAAAATTAATTTTTTATATACAATATAATAATTAAATCCTTCATATAAATAAATCTTTTTATAGATGTGTCAACTATTTTTAACCATCGATCTTAAAGATAACATCAATTGAACAGTTTGAAGAGTTTTTCGCTTGTTAAACATAAAACTCTTTCATAGTGTTGCTAATCACACTTCTCCATTTACGGATTTCGTCCATAGTTCACTGTCAATGTCTACGACCAAGGTCATTGTCAAGTGCCTCAAAATCTTCAGATACTCGTGCATTACCGAACTGAGCAAATAAATTTTATTTATTGAAAAACGCAAAAAGCTACACAAATAAAATAAGCACGCGTTTTGCTTTTGTTTTAAAAAATGTTTATGATTTTTTCAAAAAAAAAAACCAAAACAAAAATTATTAAAATTTATAAAACAATAAATTTAACGCAGTTATGAAAAATCTAAAAAAAGAGAATGTTTAGCTGGCTATAATAAATTTAAAATTTAAAATTTAAAATTTAAAATCTTACTAACTATTAAATTGTCTTTCGAGCTCAGCCACTGAAGCTGAGTACTAAACCAAAGTCTTAATGACCAAAATGAACCAATTCAATCTTATTTCCATAATTGTTTGTTTTACAAATTCATTATCATTACCATTGAAGTTATTTAAATACTTAAGATGAGATCAGATTGGAGTTTTCGAAAGGGAGTAGCATAAAGTCGTACTTAAGCATTATTCGATTGCATGCATACTAAATGTGCTGCGACTACAAGGGCGATTTTGTCAAGAACATTAAGTGCAATTCATTATTTGTTTAATTATGTTCAACATAACATAGTACGAGTATCTTATGGAAATGTTTGCTTTTGACCTAAAAAGTATCCTTGAATTGTATTTCAAAAATATTTGAAACTTTTTGAAAGTAACACTTAATCTAATGTATGTGCATTTCACAAATATACAATATATCTTAAACATTATTAAAATATGCACTTCTGTGATTTGGCCCGAGGTACTACAATAGCTCTATATATAATATAAACAGATGGTTAGCTTAAGTAAGGTTAAATAATATGAAAAAAATTTGAAAAAAAACAAATGTGTGTATGTATGTATGCACTCTATGTATGTGCATAAGTAAATTATTTATCAATGAAACATTCTTACAATTTAATATTGAAAGCAATGCAAGAAAACCCTTATATACATTGAAATGTATTATATAAATAACGAGAATTAAATTTTTGCTCAATTAGGTCTTTATGGAATAACTTGATGGCCAGAAGAGAGTCTCAATTGCACACAAATGAGCTTGACACATCGGTACAAACCCCGATGTGTGAACAATTGGGTCCTTATCGAATAACATGATGACCAGAAGAGAGTCTCAAATCTGTACAAACAAACCCAACACCTAGGAATAAACTCCAACGTGTAAACAGTTTAGTAACACAGAGGAGTTCATTATCGCGGAGATAAATAATTTAAGATCTGATAGCGAAGACAAGGACCCTTTGGTCCAGATTAGACAGAAATTAAACGAAACCCTTTTGGATTTCAGCCAATATGAACTTAGTGTATTTACTAGACATTGCTCATAAACATCCATATTTCAACAGTGGTCTATGTCACTACAGCAGTTGCCACAATGAAAAAGAAATAGAATTTATCAATCATTTTTTATGCCTTCGCCAAGGATAACAGATGTAGGGACTTCATGCTCAAGATATAACTAAACAATGTCAATGTAGTTCTTTCAAATTCCGGCCAATAACAGACCAAGTGTTTTGGGTTTCCCATATTCTTAAAACGTGATCGATATTTTGGATCAGTGATGACAACTTAAGTTGCCATGTGAAATCCATTTGTGTTGTTCCATGTAATAAGTCTGATCAGTAGTATGAAGTCGTAGAAGAGTAGTTTTATGAGGTCGATAGTTGTAACTACTTATTTTTCAGTAGTATTTAATTATTGGTTTTTTTTATAACCAACTAAATAAAGCTAAATATTATTACCAAGTTGTCACAAATTTGTATTTCTTCTCAATAAAAACTTAACTAGGAAATTAACGAATCATGGAAAATATAAACCTCTGACCCGTGTGATATGTCCATAAACTTGAAAATGTTTCTCATATACAAACTACGATTAGTTAGATCATATTATGAATTTTTTTATTATTTTGATTAAAGGGATTATAATTAATCATCTCAAAAAATTTGACGCAACCATGCTTAAATTGCAATCATATTTAAAAAGTTATTGAAGTCTACTAAGCTATCGATATTTTTATAAAAATTTTTGCTTGCTGTTTCGAGTATTGCCAAATACCCATCATTAGTGCTCTTGGAAATAATTCTTTTATTTAATTATTCGTAAATAATTTTTTGAGCCTGCAAGTACCAGAGATTGAGCTTGTGCCCTACCAATTTTGAAACTCAGAGTCAGCGCTCTTTAACCAACTGATCTAAAGCCGTACTTGACTTTTATGTTCGCACATTTTTCTAGAGTTTTTTGTTAATTTGTTGTGAAAGTTTTAACAAATCACTTGTTGTGTTTATATTAGAACGAAATCATAATTATATAATTTATATATATGATTTATAAAACATAAAAAATTGACCAAATTGATTTAATTTGGATTTTTTGCCATGTTCACACTATTGTACTTAAGTAGACAAGCAGCAGTATTATTACATACAAAATCCATAAAAACATATGTAAAAGTGGCTACATAAGTCTAAGTGTAAATGTGGTATTGAACTATTAGAAAAAAATATTTTATATAAAACATATTTAATTTTTTTACAAATTTTTATATAATGTGGATAAAATACGAGTAATTAAACTAAGATTCGATTATTGCTAAACCAAACTAACTTAACTGAATGTTTATATATATTAATTGTTTATGTAGGAACATGTGTTTGTTATTGACGGAAACATAACGTCAAAATTAATGGTTAATATATTTTTAAATTAATTAATTACCGGACTATAATTAATTAAGTGTAAGCAAAACAAATTAATTTTTTAGGCTTCCAGTTTTCCGACAAATTTCATTTATTTTTTAACACCATAAAATGTCTAATAAATTTTTATTTAAATAAATTCAACCAGAAATTAAACTAAAATAAATTATTTAAATATAACATTAATTTTGAAAAAACATTATTTGCTTTTCAGTTTAAAGACTTCATTTATTTCATTTCATTTATTCTAATTCTATTTGTTGGAAACTAATTGATCTCAAGATAAATTACCAGAATTTCATGTTGAATAATGAAGTTTCTAACAATTAAAAAACATAATATTATAACCTTTTTGAAATATAAACAAATTAAATTTTTTTCCAAGGAAATTCGATAGGCTTCATTATGGTTGTAATTTAGCTACTATTAATATCAATATTTGTTCAACAATAAAAATTATAAACAATTTCATTACAATTTAATTAGTTCTTTAGTTCTTAGCTGTGGTTTCGGAACTCTTAAAAAACCTTGGAAATGTGATTGTCTTCTGGGTTTGTTATTTAAATAAAATACTTACAGGTACTAGTAAAAAATGTTTGTTTAATAAAATTTATTTTCTACAATAATTAAATTATACAAAAACAAATTAAAAACTATGAGGAAAAATTTGTTATAAATAAAAATCATTAAAATTGTTAATGAATAGTAGCGCATATGAGTAATTATGTTCCGTTTTATTATGTTTTAGTTTTTTTATTATATATTAAAAGGGCCTATTTTACAGAACTACCGCTCATTAACGATGTTTTTTACTTTTTTTATTATCAGTTACAAGCATGTTTATCTCACAGTTTAATTACTGAACACATCTGTTTTAAATTTAGATGTTATCTTTTATATTATATATCAGGGACTTAGTCAATGAGGACAATGAGGGACTTGTGACATTTCAGCGTTGCTCGTACACTGACCTCTAGTTTGCATATGAAGAAATGCTAATTCTGTGGTATTACAACGGCCCCTTATTTGAACTCAATTGGACTTTGAGCACAAGGCCGCCACTCCAACGTAACCCAATCTATTGTAATATATCTAATAACTACATACAGAAAGGCGCTGATATTTTAGTACAGTATTTTCATAATACAAACAAAGCGAAATGGATTTGATTATGGAATGGACTATTGTTTTATAGGTCAGTACTTCATAAAAATATTGTTTGAAATAATTGAATTATTGTTATAGATAATTATATACAATTACTGCAAGAAATTTATTAAAGCATGTTTAATAAAACTTAATTACTTTTAATAATTGCAAGATATCTACATAAGTTTTTCATAGATATTGGATCTTTCAAATCTTCTTAGATATCGGAGTAAAATAATTGTTGCATTCATTAGCAGAAAAATGAACAGTAAAACGATATCAACTTTAGAATGAACTAACACCAATATGATGGTTAAATTGAACCATCATAGTCTTAGCAGTCTATGCAAAAAACTTATGTATCTTAACCCAACATATACTGCAACCGTTATCTATATCTCTTTAAAAAAAATATAAAATAAGTTACGCTATTTTATCCAAGCTTAAATTTTTGGGCCCCTTCAAGCAAAGATATTTCTAACAGTAGTATTGACCAGATACTTGCATTTCTAACATATTCAATTTTCTATCCATAATTACGAGAAAAATTGAGTCAAAATGGTTTTCTTAGAGTGTTAAGAAAAATTTGATACTTCTTTCATATAACGTCCGTAACTACCTACAGAGTTAAGCAGTGACAATGACGCTAATCAACAGGGTGATGCACTATCTTTGACACTAAGCAAACAAAGATGCTACTAGATTAAGAAATATGGTCAGTAGCACATAAATTCCTATCTTTTACGCCAATGGGTAAGTAGTTCCTAGAAACATTATGACAAACAATATCAGTTGGTTTAAAAATAAATACCAGAAAAATAATATATGGCGGTCTATTAATCAAAAGACATACATTATAAAAACTACTGACTAAACTTTTAAAGATATAGACAACTAATGGTGTAAATATCGATATCTTCAAATCGAAACCACTATCACGAAAAAGCAAGCCCAGATATATAATACAATCAACAGAAATCAGTGCAGACGGAAACTTCAATCAGTGTGGCAATGATAAATGATTTAGATAATGTGATAGCAAAAATATCATGAGTTTTGTTAAATCAGAATGGTTAGATTTAGCTGGGTATTTAATAAACTGGAAGTCAAGCTCCAAATCGGACGCTCCTGACCGACAAGGTCTAAACACATAAGGAGATAAGTGATATTAAACTTGATTTATAAGATGTGAGAAAGTTGGGAAAACAGATGGAAAAATATGGTTGCAAAACTGAAAATTCTATAATTCCTTAATTTTATAAGATAGTGTTGACATAACTGTACAATTTTATATACTTCTATAAATATTTATATGATATTTAAATTTTTTAAAACTTTCGACCGATTTTGATAAATATTTATGGAACTTTATTAAAAGATAGTTGTATGTTAAGTTTGGATCCAATAAGTGGCACTATAATATTAAAATTACAATAATTATTGTCAACTTAAATTTTAATCAAATTCTATTTAAATTAGTAAAATGTATTATCTAAAAAAATAAAATTACTTTTAAAAATAGACGTTCCCAAAAAGTGCTGTAATGAAGAATATGAGATGAAATATGAAAAAAAATTTAATTGATAAGTTAATGAACAATATACTC